ATAGTCTCAGAAAAATAAAAGACACTATGAAGTAAATATCGTTTTTTATGATGTTAACTATTCTACATAACAGTGTTGTCGGGGTGTGGGGTGTAGATGTGGTTGTTAAGAGTGATGCCAACATTCCCATCACACCCACACTCACACCCACACATATTGATTATTTAACAAACAAGAAATATACATCGATGTAGAGCACATTAAGGATTTTTTTAGATGTTGTTGTTTTTGTTATGTATGAAAATAGATTTATGTGTTGTGAAACTTTATCAGAATTTGTTTATCACTGATCATAATGTCTAGTTGTGAGATATACATCTAATGGACTTAATTCTTCGCCACTGTTTTTACATCTAAATGGATGAGCTGGAACAGGTAATGATAAGGGTAATGGAGATCGTAAACGTGCTAAATCAGTATGAACAATAAAAAGACGATTTTTTAGACGATTATATAAAGATATATCAAATGAATAACGATGAGCTTCACGATAGAATCGACGTAGAAAAAGACGATCAGTCAGTGTGATATATTCGAAATCAGTACCTGTGATTAAATGAAATGCATGGATCGCCATGACAGTTCCATATCCAATAAAATAAGAAAGAGGTCCTACAACATTCCATGAATAAACATCCCATGTAAGTTCAACTAAAACACCAACTTGAAAACACATTGCAGTTAGACCATACCATATACAGCGTGATGTATAACGTTGACATATATTAGCTAATTTATTTTTAACCTATTTAAATAAAAAAAAAAGAAAAATGAATCTATAAATATAAAAATGTCTTGATTGAAGATTCACTTTTTCTAATGGTTCAAGTTGTATTGTTAAAGCATTAGCTTCATTTTTTAATTCAGAATATTTTTCATGACAAAACTTTCATAATATTTAATGCATAATAAAGTGCTGCTACAATATCTTCTGTTGATGGTCCATCAATTTTTGTATGTCTCATTGTAGTATCTTTTATTTGTAATTTATTAATTGGATCAAAAAGAAATATTTTTTGTTGATTTAATTGTATTGTAAATGG